GCTGAGGGCACCAATCACCAGTCTAGGTCGTTATGGGGGAAGAGAGCCTCAAGGAAGCCAGAGCATAGGATTTTGGCAAGATTATTCACCTAAGAATGATGGCCAGAAGTGGTGGCTTTTAAGATTCCTGTCACCATCAAAGACTCCTGAGACCACAGAGAGGTGGAATAGGCCTATAATCCCCGCACTCTGGGAGGCTCAGGCTGGAGGAACAAAAGCTCAACCCCAGCCCAGGCAACTTAGGAAGACACTGTCTCAAAATACAAAATATAAAAATGACTGAGGATATAGCTCAGTGTGAAGGCCCTGGGTAAAATCCCCAGTGCTGCAATATAAAAATCCCAAGATACTGGGAATTTTCAGGCACTGCTGTCCAGCAGGGGGCCCAGAGCCTGTGCCCAAGGAGGCAAGGTGGGGACCTATGTTGTGTCAGAGGGTCCATGAGCTTCCTTTGGACCAACAGCTCTTGGAGGTTATGGAAGGGCAGATTCTCAAGATTCGTTTCCTTCTCCCGCCAGACCTTTGGTGACCGCGTTCTCTATCCAGCCTCTTGGGTCGTCCCACTTTTTGTGGCGTTTTCCACCATTGGAGCTGCTAACGGGACCTGTTTTACTTCGGGCAGGTAGGGGACCCCGCAGTCACTCTGTCTGTTGATGGGCAGGAGATGATGTCACTCTCAGGGAGCCCTAAGCCTCTGAGGCTATGCTAGGTCAAACCGTCACAGCCCAAGTCAGAGCCCCAAAGTCCAGAGAAGGGATGTAGCTTGTACCCACAAAGCAAATGGGCAAGGAAACTGTGGAGAAGGTCACTTTGCAGGAGCCCAAGTGCTAACTACGGGGTAAACAGTGCCGAGCACTGGGCAGAGGGAGGCGACAGAAGCAAATGCGGCTTTGGTTTCTACATGGTGCCTCTCCAGCTGCGCTGCTTTACCTAGTGCTATTCCCAAACCTCTTCTCCTGGGCACGCACACACACACTCACACTTTCCCTCAAATAGGTAAAGCTTAAAGCTCTAGGCCACAGGTATGTAAGTCTCTGTCATAACTCAACTCTGCCTCAACTTTATAGCACAAAATATAAACAGCCAGCTAGGCGTGGTGGCACATGCCTGTAATTCCAGCAGCACTCTGAGAGGCTGAGACAGGAGAATCCCAACTTGGAGCACAGCCTGGGAAATTTAGTGACTTAGCAAAAGCCTGTCTCAAAAAATAAAAAAAGCAGAGAATGTAACTCAGTGTGGCCCTGGAGGCAGTTCTTCAGTATGAAAAACAAAACAAAAAACAGCTATGGTTCTGCTCCAGTGAAACGTTACATCAACAGGTGGTGAGAGCCGCTGGTGTCGACTTTACAGCTGTGTTGCATTCCCTTTATGAGGCGGCGTAGTCTAAGGAACCCTCCTCTGACAGAAACCCTCCCCTGACAGTGTGTGGGGAGTGGTGTCCATCGTCATGGCCGTTCTGCCCGCCCTGGAACAGGTCTTTGCTCAGTGTCCAGGCTTTCGAGTGGATGCATTTCTGAGTGAAAATGGCACAGGTTTTTCACTTCCAAACAACAAAATGTGTAGCAGAAAATTATTCTTGTAAAGTGGTATAGAGTACAATGGGAGCGCTCCCCCAACTCTGTCCTTTTTCAAAGCCATTTCAGGCTGTGGTGAAGAGCTGTGGTACTGTACTTGCCTGTAATGTGTGAGGTCCTGGGCTCCATCCCAGAAGCCCCCAAAACAGCGATTGTAGATTATTTGCATTTCTGCATACATTTTATCTACTGACTTATTTGGATTTTGGAAACAAGGCTTCATGATGTAGCCCAGGTCACCCTCAAACTTGAGCTCTTCCTCCTTGAGTTTCCCAAGTGCTGAGATTGCAACCCTTGGCAACACATGTTTTAAATTGAAATATAATAGCATACAGAGAAGTGAGATCAGGTAGTATTTTTCTTATTTCTTATATGAAATATTGGCTTATTTCACTTAGTATAATTTTTCATTTATTTAAATTACTGTTTATATTTTTAAAAAAATTTGAGACAACGTCTTGCTTTGTACGCTAGGCTGGCCTTGAACTCCTTATGTGGACAAGACTGGGCTCACACTCAGGGCACTCCTGTTTCAGCCTCCTGAGTGCTGAGATCACAAGCTAGGGCCTCCACAACTGGCTTGACATACTGATTTTAATTGCTTTCCGTATACACCCAAAAGTGGGATTGCTAGATCATACGATAATTCCATTTTTAGTTTGTTGAGGAAGCTCTCTTGTCTTTCAAAATGGCTGTACTAATTTACATTCCCACCAAAGGTATACCAGGGCCCCCTTTTCTCCACATCCTGGTCCCCATTAGCTTTCATTTTTGGAAGTGACATCTCACTGCAGTTTACATTTCTCTGATGTTATTGAGCATTTCTTTCATGCATCTGTTGGCCTTCTGTGTGTCTTTTTTGAGAAATGCTTGCTCAGGTCCTTGTTATGGAGTAATTGAGTCTCTTGCATATTTTGGAGACCAGCCCGTTATTTGATGATTTGCAAATGTTTCTGTCGTGAGTTGTCTTTTTGCTGTGGGTTTCCTTTGCTGTGCAAAAGCATTTCCATGTGATGTAATCACATTTGTCTATTTTTACATTTGTTGTATGCACTTTTGGGGCCATATAGAAAAAAATCATTGCTAATTGGAGCTTTTCCTCTGTTCTAGTAGTTTTACAGTTTTAGTTTTTTAGATATAGACTTGAATCTTGTATCAAGAGTAACCTTCATTTAAGGATCCAATTTTATTGTTCCTTGTGAACATAGTTTTCCTATTTCTATATGAGTATTAGAATCACCTTGTCAATTACTCAAAAAGGTGGGGATTTTGATCTGGACTATCAAAATCTATAAATCTATAAATCAATTTGGAGAGGACTGCCATCTTATAATTGAGATTTTAATTTTTTATATAACTTTGTAGAAGCTTTTATCTTACAATTCTTGCAATGCCATTGTAAATGTCATTTAGAATTTTAAAAAATCAGTTTCAGAAAGTTTGTTGTTAGTACATAAAAACACATCTTTAACAGTTCTGTTAAGAAATATAAAAACCTCACCCTTGAAACTGTACAACTCAATTATTTTGGTAAATTTATACAGCAATACAAATATCATTTCCATTACCTCAGAAAATGTCATGTCTAATCATGTCTAATCCTTACCTGTACCTCCAGCCCTAGACAGATTGCAACACTTTATTTCCTTCTTTCTGATAGCATTATGTTTCTGAAACTCAAACCTTGGAGCCACTGGACCATATCCCATTATGTGGATTTTTGATAATTTATCCATTCATTTGGATTATTTCCAGTTTGGGCTGTTATGCGTAGTTTTGCTTTGGATATTCCTGTGTTTTTATGTGGATAGATGTTTTCTTCTCTCGAGGAAATTCCTGGGGATAGAATTACTCGGTTGTATAGTAACTTTATGATTAACTTTCTTTTTCATTAAAAGAAAATCCTAAAGTTCACTTATAGATTTGGAGCCCCAGAATCCCAGTTGAATAAAATTTTTACTTTTTATCCAATTATGTGACAGGAAAAACTACAAGCGACTTTTTATTTATAATATTAAAAGTACCAATACAGTGGGCTGAGAGCATAGTTTAGTGATAGTGTGCCTAGCATGTTCAAGGCCTGGGGCTCCAAGCCCAGCACCAAGCATCTGCATTAGTGAAACATTTAAAAATCTGCCTATGTAAAAATTGGGTTATTCATCAGAGCATTGTAACAGTTCTTCATATATTTTAGATGTAAATCCTTTATCAGATATCCAACTTGTCCATGTTTTCTTCTAGTCTGGAGCTTGTCTTTTTGCTATAATGGTGGTTTATAATTCATTGGTGCACATTCGTCACAGAATAATGAGATTCTTTATGGTGTGTTGATACAAGCATGTATCATATTATTTTCATCCTCTTTATTCTCTTCTTCTCCTCCATCCCCTTCTACATCTCTAGATTATTGTCTAGCTTTTTGTCCTCTCTCCTGTTTTTATCTTTAGGTTTTTAGGGAAATCATGAGATTTTTAACTTTCTAAAACTGGCTTATTTCATTTAATATGATGGTCTCGTTTTATCCATTTTCCTGCAAATGACATTTTTTCTTTCTTATGGCTGAAACATACATCCATCTATCTCACAGTTTCATTGTAATGGTGTTTTTCATGTAATGTTTCTACCTTTGATAAAGCCCAGCTTATCAAGGTTTGTAAGTGGCACATTTTTATTGACTTTGCTCAACACAAGTTCACAAAGATTTTGTCCTTAGAGGTTTCACCTTTAGCCATTCCATTTAGATATACAATCCAATTTGAGTAATTTTTGAAAGGTGGGGGTTGAGATAGTGTCTTATTATGTAGTTCAGGCTGACCTTGGACTCACTATATACCCCAGGCTTTCCTTCAATATTTTTTCCTTTTAATATTTATGGGTTTTATTCCTTTCAATATTTTAAACAGTCTTTCAGATAACTGAACTGTCAGGAGTTTTGATGGAAAGTGCCAAGGGTTTATGTTTGCTAACTCATCCTTCAAATGACACATTTTATTTACTTACTTACTTGAGACAGGGTCTTGCTATGTAGTGTTTTGACCTTGAATTCCCTATGTAGCCTAGGCAATCCTCCTACTTTAGTCTCACAGTGCAGGGATTAAAGTGTGCACATAATCTTCATCCATCCCCGCTTTGGTGGTTCACTGTACCAGGATGTACCTAACCCCCTCAACCTTCTAAAGCTCACTCCTCTCCGGGAGACAGAGCCACCCCAAGACAGCCAGTCACCACTCAGTTCCTCCCGTGACCCCTTGGTGAAACTCAGGACACACTTCCTCAGCACCTCCGTGTGATTCTTCTTTCAGAATCATTTATGTCGCATCCCGGGAAGGGCACATGCTTAAAGTGCTCTCTTACATCAGCGTCAGGCGCCTCACGCCCGCCCCTGCCATCATCCTCTTTGTAAGTAGGAACCGCACCTCGACACCCATGCTATCGGCAGAGGGCCCTCAGGTCCAGGGATGAGAAAGCCCTCTCTTGCTAACACTTCTCCCAGCGGTTTTCACAGTGTTGCTGGGTGTTGTGACCAGCGTTCCTGTTCAGGCTGTTATTATCTTATTCAAAGAGCTGGATAGAACAAAGAACATAAATGTTTAACATTCATTAAAGGTACTAAAAGTAAGATAAATGTAGGAAAAGGAATGAGAAGTGTGCTCTGCAGAGCAAGTGTGGGCCACTTAAAGGTTCACGGCAGCCACGAGATTAATGGCTGCCATCTTTTACACCCATTTCTTACATTAGGGCCATGCCATGCAGGGCTCTGAGGATACTTCCAGGATACGACAGATAGGTCTCTGTGACTGACAGGTCACTCCCAATTGTCCATTTGCCTTGCCATGGCCTAGTTTTCTACCTTAGGAGCCAGGTTCCCTTACTCCTTTGACAGGAAATATAAAAGGAATTTCTAAGACACTTGAATTTATCCTACTTCTGTTTCTTTTTTCTAAACTTACCCATAAAAGATACTGTTTGGATCCCCAAAGCTGGTGCCACACTACTTGTTTCATGTGTGATCATTTGTTTGTTCTGAGCCCCTGGGGGAAAGCTCCATACAGTGCATGGGGAAGGAGAACAAGCCACTTTACAAGGTGTTGCTAACAGCAGTCTCTCATTACGGTCTAGTGACTTATGTCCTGAGATCGATGGCATCTCTAATGGGAAGTTCTCAGGGGTAAATCGTCTTGGTCATGTGCACTGTTCTGGGCACACAGACACCTTCCACCTTCCTAGCTCAGGCTGATGCACTGTCCCCCAGCTGCAGAGCAGAACAGGTCTCTTTTCCACCTGCACACTCTTAAGAAGGGGAACATTACTCAGGGAATGGGGACACAGATCAAGGCCAAGGTGACTAATGCAGTGAAGATCAGACTCAGGTTTCCAAGTCTTGGGCTCTTGCCCATAAAGAAGACTCTCTGGAATTTATATATGTCATTGTAAAACTGGCAAAAAAAAAATAAATATAAATATAAATATAGATATATATACATAGCCTCATATTTTTATTGCTTAAAAGCACAACTTCAAAATTTATTATTTTGAACTTTAAATTTTTTATTTTAAAAGCACAACTCAAAAATTACTCAAGTTCTTCCCATCAGATTTCAGAGAGAACGGCTATCACAGCCAAAGTCACGTTCAACCCCAACTGCAAAGGGATACAGGGGAAATTTCTTTCATGCTGATGTTTATCCATAGGAAAAACTGCTTCTTAAAACTGTTATGAGGTGATAAGAAGAATGTTTTTATGCACTAATGACTTGAGAATTTGTTTTTCTTTCTATTAGGGTATAATAGCAACAATTTATATCATCCCTGGTGACATAAACAGTTTGGTCAATTATTTCAGTTTTGCTACATGGTTATTTTACGCAACAACTATTATAGGACTTGTTGTGATGAGGTTTACGAAGAAAAATCACCAAAGGCCTATCAAGGTAAGTTTCCTGCCCAAATGTCACAAGCAGCTCTGATGACTAGACTGAAGACAAGCTGGCTCTTTCCTTTCTGACTCTACTCTGTCCCTGAGCATCATCTTTTACACAGGAATTTATTCTGCACTTTATCCTATAGCTTCTGAGCCCATTAACCACCTAGTCATTCATTTACTAAGCTGCAAGAATCACTATGACACTTTCCATGAAGTGAGGGGGTCTTCTGAACTCTGGCCCTGGGTCCATTCTTGTCCAAGTTTACAACCTACTTTCAGTTCCTTCCCACTCCCTGAATGGCTGGTGGGATTTCTCTACCATGAAGAAGAAGCAGCATTTATTTTGTTTTGCTTATGATAGGGACTTGTTGTGATGAGGTTTACGAAGAAAAATCAAATATGAAAATAACCCTCAGCAAGTTTGCTATTTAATTCTCAGGGTAACACAGCACAGATATAATAAGAATTAGGCAAATGACCAGGAATGAATAAGGACACTGTCTTTAACTTTAGGACACCCAGGGCCTTTGCATGGAGCTGCATCCTCAGTACTTTGTTTTTTCTTAATGAGACGGAATCTCACTAAGTTGTAAATTGCCCAGACTGGGCTCAAGCTTGTGATCCTCCTGCCTCAGCTCACAGTGCTGGGATTACAGCTATGAACCAGCAGGCTTGGCTTAGCTTTAGCTTTTGTTTCAGAAATCTGTCTAATGGTCTACCTTGCATTATCTGTGGACCTCCATCCTGTCCCTGGAGTCAGCTGAGACATGGGGCAGCTTTCCTGGAGCTAGGCAGTGTCGCCTTATTCAGCTCCCAGCAGGCCAAACCATGGCGGCAGTGTAGGCTTTTAATTTGCACAAAATCCCCCATAAAATCAGGCAGAATCACTTGAACGAGCCACGAGAGAACCCCACAGCCAACATCCTCAACACAAAACAAGGAAACGCA